AAGAACATCACATCTTAGATAAATTAAATAACATAACATCTTCTCTTTACAAAAAAGGCATCAATTCAATGTGAGGGAATGAAATTGGACTTCGAATTCATACAGATTGACTTTGCTAAAGCGCGGAATTTTCTAGAAATTTTACTAAACTATAAATATTTGATGCATAAGATTTGATAAATACCTGTGGTTCTGGAACCAAATTTTTACTTGTGTAGGTGTCAACCGGATTTGCATAGCAAGCTGTTCACGTTCGGGTGCCGAAAGATACCTCTGTGTGCGGAATCTCCTTTCAAGTTCAAAAGTTTGCAATTTTGTGAATAAGACCCGTCGTTTACGCCGTTTCTTTTTCCCGCTTTCTTCAATAAAAAGCAAATTAGGAAATGTGGGGAGAAGATTTTCAAGAAACTTCTTTCTTCACATTTTCTTTGTTTTTATGTGTGTAAAATAATAGAATATAATTTATAATTGATCAGTGAGAATTGTTAAATTCAAATTAAGAGCGAAATGTCCACCTTCATCCTCATTAACTGTATCGTTTTCATTGAGAACATCGGTAATGTCTTCACTTGCCCCTCTACTAAAGCAGTATTAATTAATTATTTCAACGATATTATTTCAATGTTCATTCCATCTACTTCACTGCTTACATTAGTCACCTTTCCGATAATCACAACATGCTGTACGGAAGAAACCAGTAAAAGTAAATTGAAATTTTTTAAAAGCTAATTTTAACAGACAATATGAGAAAGTACCTGGTTATATTGGCATCATTAATATCTTCTTCATTTTCGGATTTGTTACATTGTAATGAAGTAGGTAGTAATGATGGTTCCAGATTTTTTTCAACTTGACTACAACCAGCAACTGCTGCATTTATTATTTCAAACCTAAATAACGAGATAAAAATTCTGAAAAAATGTACAATGAATCCATAATTTCAGGAATAAATGTTTTATTTTGAGTGATAATTAAATTTATAAAAGAAGTGATAACAAACCCGAGAGGAACAGCAGATGATGTAAGATAAGACTGGTGTGTACTGAATGCGGTCTGATCATACATTGCATAGGAAGTGGCACATGGTGAATACGAAGCATCAAATGCTGGTGAAGCTGGGTGGTGTCCTGAATGATGACTGTATTTCGAATTAAGTAGTTTAACATATTGGTAATCGTCAAATTTATGCAACATATTCAGTTGGGAAGATATTTTGTCTATAAAAGTTGAAAAATTTTAAGTAATGGCGATCAAATGCATTTGTTCTGACTGTGTTCGTTTGTAATATAAAAAATCTTAACTAATCTCATACCAATGAATAAATAGAAGTTAAAAGAGGAAAGCTCACCGCCAAGTAACGGTAAGTGATCAGTCCAGGATGATGAGGGATAGTTGTAACAGTTACCTACTCCTGTACCACCATCAAGTATATCACATCTGCAGAAACAAACTTTTCAAAAAGTTTACAAACTTTAGTATTACATTATGTGCAATTCGTGAAAAGCCTAAGAATTGTTCAATATTTGTCATTAAAAAAACCTTCGCTTAATGAAGCAACAGTGAAAAATAGTCTCGTTTTAATAGATAAAAGATATTTCGTTTTTAAGGTTAATAAATGAAAAATTTATTTCGAAACTACTGGAATCGACTTTGTTGAATGAAAATGTTAGTAAGTTTTATCCTGAAGTTATCTGTTGGGATAGAACAGTAGTTCTGTTTACGATTAATTCATCGAGTTGTTCTAGAAAGTAATCATCTAATTTGCGAAACAATCTTTATCCCAATTTATTCCCATCCTCTCTCCTGTCAACAGCGCCTGCTATCTGATATTACATCAGTGCTACTTTTATACATACCTTTTCAGCACTTCAGCTATTAGAAAGAAACCTATTCAACATAGTTTCGTTAGATTCTCTGTTTGAGATATTTTGCATAAAAAAATATACACATAGTATTACTTCAACTTAGTATAAAATCTGATTTAGTCTGTTTTTGTCATTTTTTGTTGCTTTTTTTTTGATATATTTATATCAAAAATATTTTAACTTACTTGTTATTGATGAAACCAGCTGTTGTTGGAGTGCCAATAGCGGTAGTAACAGTAGTAGTAGGCAGACAATGTGATGCTCCTAATGAATTAGAGTTTGATCCTGATAATCCAGCAATTACTGTCGCTGTTGTTCCGGAAGTAGTAGCAGCCGCATGGGCGGCTGCAAATGCAGCAGCGTTCAGTGGAAACATATATTTGTAAATAGAAACTTTTTTGATACTGTTTTTGTTAATGGAAAAAAAAGAATTGTGAAAAAGTAAATTTTGAAACAGTATCTGCTCGTTAACTGATAAGCATATAACAGATGGTTGTTGGGTTAGCTCAATTTTGTAGAACTAACTGAAGTGGTGTATGAATCATAGATCCATTTATCGAAAAGTACTGTTTAGCTAGTACTTTTCAAACATACTGGAGAAAATTGAGAAAATTCTCCACTACCACTTAGCATACCCAATATCCGATGAAATGTAGCAATCATTGGCGATCAGCTCCATAACTTCTTTTTCTTTATTCCATTGCAAATCTATACAGAGTTCAGGTAAATTAAAATTTGTCCGCCCCCTTTCGAGTTTTTATCATTTGTCATTGGATGTCGATGCACGGTATTTGTCTCATACTCTTCATTTACATTATGTCTCGTCTCTTTAAGTAAACTTGAGGAAGGAGACAGTAAACTGAACAACAAATGAATGATTTGTTCAAGTGACATTTTCCCGCTATATTGCAATCTTCAGACTTTGCATTTTCTTCGTATAAATTGTCCAGTTCAAACTTATGTATGTTTGTACAATCTATTCGATTGATGATAAAACAAAATGCAGTGTATTCTTTTAGATGGTAAATGAGGTAAGATGTTAGATCAATTTTTTAAGTCATTTAATCAAGACCATTTAACAAATAGAATGACAGTTCAAAACTTGAGTTTAATTCTTAGTTTGATCTACTTCTCAGCTTGTAAATATGCATGATCGAATAGTCCTGGTAGCTATAATAGCTCATCACTGATAATTCAGATTGATATGAGTTAAGATAAATTTCGAAAAAGAACAATTAGAAAATTTCAATCAATTCTTGAAGACTTAAAATAAGCTGAAAGAAAATATAATTGATATTGACCTTTGTGCCTACATATCTAAAAATGATGACAGATGTGAAAGATTGTTCTCAATTGATCTTCATCTCAAATGACAGTGTTGTGGAAGGTAAACAACCACAGTAGCTACAAGAGATGATGAAGTAGAACTGTACATTGAATCTATTCCATCTGTAAACATTTCCCATTCTATCTTTATCTCTACTTTTTACGATGACATTACGAAAACCAACAGTTTGCAGCTCGATTTCGCGCATTATGAGACGATTTTAAGAGATTAAATAATTGTCAAAAAGTGATTTTTGATGATTTGGAATTGTAAGAATTTTTCTTATATGATACTCTTTCACTTGAAAAAAAAAAAAAACAATGTTAAGACAGTTTTTGAAATTGTGGTGATGAAAATTTGCTACGGCAACTTTAACTGATATTGCTAATTATGTATGATATTTCGAATAGAGCAAAAATGTATTGGACATAACATTTTGATAATATTCTTATATTAACAAATCTACTAAGATAGCATTAATCGAATTAAAAAATATCGATCGTGAATCCAATTTAGGTGAAAATGAAAAGTAAAAAATCGGAAAATTTTTGAGAATTTAAGTATACTGCCAGAAAAAAATACAGATCACTGATATCTTACGAATAAAATATGAATGAAAAATAAGGTATATTAATAGCAACCATTTTTGCAATTGGAAGTACACAGTTGAGTCAAAGTTAGTTGACTCTAATGTAGCTTTCACATTACAAAGCAACTACGCATTAAATGATTTACATCTCGAGGGAACTACTGGAAGTACCACAGGCAGTGCTGTCTTTTCAGACCTCATTTATCAAATCTCAAAAAATTGCTAATTTTTTGTGATCTCAGTTATTGCTGCCGATAAATGTGATTCTTTTCACTTTTCATCTGAATTTGAGAGTCTATTGCCACTTGGATCAATTCCAACTTTATTTTTTGTGCCACTGAATGTGCTGTATTTTGCCGTTTGTCTTCATCATTATTTCTGGCCACAAACGAATAGTAGTAGTAGTTTCATTGATGAACTAAGAATTATGTTGCATTCACTAATGGAAAGGCATTCATCCTTGCAAGCAAGCATGCCTAGTTTGGTTGGCCCAACTCAATTATCAGAAGAAGTGAGCAGTTGGCCTAGCAGTAGAAATTCGTTTTTACTTATTTAGCATTTTATCTGGCTATGTGAAAGACAACTCACTCAATAGCTACAATGCTTATCGGCTAGATTATTTCTTCAAATTAAGTGTAGTACTCTCTTGCAATCTTACAGATTTGAAATTTAATCCATTGAGAAAATTCTTCTGAACAGCCTATCACAGTTTTCTTCTAAGCGCAAATATAAAAAACATTTTAAAATAATTTAAAAACATAGTTTCTAAAATTAATTCAATGTTATCAATTTCTGCTACTTAATTTTAGTAATCGGCAACCGATATTTTACGGTTCCTTACTTTACGGCTTTCAAGTATCATTTTCAAAAGTCCAGATTTGTTGTTAAGACCTATATTTGTTGGAAACAACTCGTTTTATCATTTCTAAATCTTGTGGACCTTTTTTAGTTTTTAAAATTTGATTCGCATTTTGTTATACAACTCATATCCAAACAATTAAAGCGGGGCTCTTTCCATCATTGTTTTTAATAAATCAATTGACTTTTTTGTTATCTTCTGGAGCTCCATAAAATCACTACGGTAAAAGTCGCTTAATTCAAAAATGAAGTGCAATTAGAGTTTTAAGCATTGCTTATTCCAGAATGCTTTTTCGGCAATGTCATTCACGATATTCTCATTTACTATTTGACAATATTTCTAAAATCGTGTAAAGTAAGGATGGCAGTGTATAGTCGGAACGGTTTTCGTTGGTCACTAAATCCGCTTCTTGTTATTGTGGCATTTGTAAGTTGCTTTTTCTTTTTTTAGAAATATTTTGCTCAAACAAAAAATACTGGAAAGTAGATAATAGTTAGTTTTACTACCGGTGACTGCGATTACAGTTAGCCAGAAACCCTCCTATAGCAATTCCTGAAATTCCTTTAATCCATCATCTCATCTGCTCATATAACAATTACTTTTCACTCTTCAAAAAATTTCCGACAAAGTGATTTAATTATTTTGAAAAACTGTAGTAATTTTTAAAATTCTTGAAATATCTTGAAAGTCTTAAAATTCATTAATTCCTGAATAATTTCAGTGTGAATTTTGGCTTGGTATCAATCATCTGCTATTTTGCTTACCATTCTATCCTTTTCTGATACCCATCACTACTGCTGTTTTTGCTTTTATCACCGCTTTTCATGCCCTTTTTCTTCATTTTCCAAACAGGTTTCGTCATATTTTTCAAAATTTTTTTAATACTTTAGTTGTTTCCCCATAAATTTCAATCGATAGGATGAAGAGAGAAATAAAATATATGGAAATAAAAAGATTAATAGTCTTGTTTGCAGCTGATAATTGCTAGCTCAGATATGAAATATTTCTTCGATTATTTAAATGTTTAACATATCTAATTTCTACTAGTGCTAGAAGATTTAAGCTAGAAGATACTAGATTATCTAGAACAATAATTGCTAGTGCTACTTAAGGGAAAAACTTGCTTACAATTAAATGTTTGTTTAAAATTTGTACTGATAGATAGATACTTTTAGAGTTACTACCAGTCAATAGCAATACCTCTTGTGCTTTTTTCACAAACTTTTTTTCCTAAAGAGAAGTGAAAGCAAAAGCAAATTGAAGCAAGGCATTTCGGTAAAGCATTTTTACGGAATGCAATAAAATTCCTTAATAATGACAAGTCTTCAATTTTAATTTCAATGTTACTGTCACCCTAACTGTTAACTGTTCATTATTTATTTCCATAGAAAATTGCAAATTAATTAAGAAAATACGCGGAGTAGTAATTAGAACAATGTTTATCTTTTTAATTATTATTTCTTTTTGATCATCACTAGAAGAATGATTTATACTTTTCAATTCATTGCAGAATGGACTTTGTGCTTCATTGTTGTTCTGCAGCTTTGGGACTGATTCTACTAGTAACATCAATCACTGAGACATTTTGTGGAGTTGATGGTATGTTAAACGAAGATGAAGATAATAATGCCCGTGATACTTCAGGTGCACATTCATTCAAATCACGTTTCATCTTTGATACTGAGGGAAGAAGATAACTATGTATAATTCCAGCAAATCAGATTTCAATGTTACAAGCATTATGTTATGGCTTATCATATCGTACATCAACTTACCAGAAATCTTGCAACGACTTCTTAAGACCACTTCACGATTCACTGCTACTTAAGTTGGATATAACCTTCCATACAAGTTCAGTTAATTTTATGACATCTTTTTTATTGAGCGGATTTGCACTGGCGCATATTGCAACCTGTACAGCTCTTGCATACTTTAGCGCGGAAGAGAACGGGTAATTATTTTATATTCCTACAATAATTTCTTCTGCACTGACGTGAAATTATAAAATAGTGGAAGTCTACACGCAACAACATAACTGTATATTGAAGCAGTTGCGTGCAGAAAAAAATAAAATACAATTTGAACTATGAAAAATTATCCTTTTTCTTTTCGTAAGCAAGAAATTCATATATGATGTTTCTTATACAAACGTAAATGCTGAAGATAAATTCAATTTTTTATCGCCACACTTTCAAATATAGAAAGGATCAGAACTAAGATCAAGTTAGATAATAACGCCTGAGAGTATGGATGTCGTAGAACTATGATTAATTTTTGCCGCTTATATAAATATTAAAAATAAGAATGAACTCGTTCAGGTACTTAATTCGTTCTTATCATGGTCAACTAGTAGTCGGCATAATGATGATTCCCTCAGCATTACTTCATCGCTTCTATTGCTGTACATATTTTTACCTATGGCCTGCTGTTTTCGTCGCTCTTTATACCGTATTCCAGTGCATTATCACCTGGAAATACCACTATCGAGGCATAGTATTAAAATATTGTTGTGAACTTGATTGACTAAAAAAGAATACACAATTTGATAATAATTACTCGACATATGAAATAGTGAATAAATGTTTGAAAAGTGAAGTGAAAAGAGAACATTCAGGTAAATTTGTTCGGTTAGCAAATATATTTGGCTCGGGTATTGCGATGGCATTGGCTGCTATGGCATCATTTGGAATGTTCTGCACTTTTACGAGGTATGTCTTATTCCTATCCAACACAAAATCTTCGTACTTTTTCTTATACATTGTACTACTTCAGAACTAGAATAACTGGACAATTAGTAGCATCTAATTTTACGTGTGAAAGCTTGTGATCTACTATTCTGTCAATTCTAGGATAATAACTCTAACCAATTCTCGACTAATCTATGTTGGTTGTCTCATTAATAAATTAATAAAAAATCTATTCAGAGACAACTCCGTTTAATTTACGCTCTTAATTGAACACTGAAAAGGAATCATTCTAGGTTCTCAATGAATCGTTTCCCGTTTCAACGTCACTGTTATTCTCCTTCATTAGCTTACCAATACTGCTATCGAGTTATAGATTTTCGCAGCCCATATACGGAATGGAGACGTGAATACGTGGTCGCAGAAACGAGTGCAGTTCAAGTTCTCGTCAATCTGTGGTTATTCATCTCAGCTGTTTCTCTCTTTTCCTTTTCACTGAAATCAGCTTTTACAACTGAAATATTAGCCGGCTATTTACCAACACAGTCAATCTCTTAAAATATATGAAATCACGTCCCAGTTATCTGCGGAATGTTGGTGTTACCCATATTTCGGAATGTTATAATTTTATTTCGCATGCACAATCACTGATAATTGTTTCAAGCTGTATTAATCTTATTTCGCTCAAAAAAAAAAAAAAAAATAAATAAATAAATAAATACGCAAAGCAAAAAAAAAAAAAAATAAATAAAATAAACGAATTGCAAATAGCTCAAACAATAGGTAAATTCAACAGGATCTGTTCCTAGAAAGTAATAATCTGTTGCACCAGTCGTGAAATGACGCTATGGGTCAAAAAGTCTTCATTAGTGACACCAGTCTTTTTGGCACTTAAATGTGACTTACTTTCAACAAAAGTTACTTTATTATCTATATATTTTGCGTAATTATCAGCCTTTTTTATTCTCAAAGTGTATCTTGAAAGATTCAATAAGGAAATTGTTTCTAGCATCCGTTAGATTGATTGGGAGCAACTCTGGGTGTTGTATGCTTTTAGAGAAGCCATTGATTATCAAACTTTTTTAAATGAAGTAAATTTGGAGAGAAAATTTTTAGCTATTTATTAAATTTTATAGAAAAATTGACTGGGATCACTCGTTGAACCAAGTCTGCGAATAATAAGTGAGAATGACAAATGATATCCCTGCTATTAGACGAAGTCTCTAACATGTTTATAGTATAAATATGCCATCTCTACTGTTTCCTTCAGCAACATTTTGAAACATAAATACATTATAACTGAGACCAAACTTTTGGCATGAATGATCAGTTGTCTCAGTGGAAGACAATTTTATGACATTTTAAGTCTGATATTTTAAGATTGCTATTCTTCTTCATCATTACTATTTCAGTTGTTCGATTTAGTTTACGTAATACTATGCAACTTGAACTTGGCGTAGCAAGATATTTTGGTTCCTTTGTATAAGACTGTAAGTTTCCTTCATTCAGCTAAATCAGATTAATCATCGGATAATATAATCAGCAAACATCACTAAAAGTTTTTTCTATTACTATTTACTGTTATGTGTTTTTATGAATGTTCATAATAATACTTCGATAATACAGCTTAATAATAGTAATGTCTTGAAATTCCAGAAACTTCATATTTATGGCTGCAATCTTATAATTTTATGTCGTTACTAATCTAAGCTTACAAATGAAAGGCTTTCTTATTCAGGTAACAGTGACATTATAGAATACTTTCTGCTTCCAGTTCTTTTAGATGGATTCACTGCAACAGTATACTCACACATGTAGTATACCTCAATAATACAAGGTTCCATTCAACTCGAAATGGCCAAATATATTTCTACAATGTTTTTATGCTTAGATTAAATTACAAAACGCATATTTAAGTTGAGCAACATATTTCTAAGTTGTCAGACATTCAGGAACATACATACACTAATACTTTTAAGAAGTTCAGTATGAAATGAAAATTTATGCAAGTTCAGATTAAATATTTTTGCAATTTAATTACGAAATAATGAACAAAACAAACAATATTTCAATGAATAAAAATAGTCAAAAGTAAACTCCTGTAAACAACCAAAATCAGTAAACAAATTATGATGATCTCAATACACATTTCATAATCTGATATAAATTTCAATATCTACTCGTAGCAGAACCGTGGCAAACGTGGAAAAGGTACTGCTGCTCTTCGACGTCTTTTTCCTGGAAAAGCTGCTGGATTCCATGGAAATTCTTTGTGCTTCGGATTTCTAAGATCCCATGGAAAACTCTAAAAACGAACTAACTGCTAAATATCTTATTCACTACGCATTCAATTTTTGGTGATTTCTACTAAAATTTTGAAAGGTCCCCTAAAAACTAATTCTAATTTCGAGAGAAACACTGGAAGAAAACTACATTTCTCTTCATTAATACTAGGAGATCACAGTTTTTTGCTGTAATAAATTAAGTGTGTACCAATTGTATATTATCGATAAGAATCATAGACCACCTTGCAACGCTCTCTTTGTATTGATACAAACTTAAATAATCTCGTGGTTGCATGTTACGCGCATACCTGCCGTTTACATATATTCGACCATTCTGCAAAGCATGTTACAAAATTTAGAATTATACATGGAATTCGCTAGATCCGCATTCATTCGCAAATCAAAAAATAGATTGTGTTCCAAAGTAGCTTTATTACCGTGAAGTTTCAATCTTGTTTTGATATTTCACTTAATTATGACAGCGAAATTATACTGAAAGTTCTACTTTGGTGGTATTAATTGAATTATTCATTTAATGTTATATCCATTAAAGTAAGCGGTACAGAATAATTGTGATAATAAATTGTTTTCTTTGCAATTTTCCAAAAAACGGTAGGAGTCTTACATCATAATTGAAATTTTACTAATTCCTCGGAAATTGTTAATGTCGGACATATAAATAGATATTATTCCATAACACAACATTCTTCAGTACAAAGAGAGAGGAAATCGAAACTAAACAAGTTATTTCCCCTAACTCACCCGTACTGTGCAATGTATGTTGTTCTCAATGGCACTCAGTTCGTTGTCTCTTTCAGATGAACGTACGGTATTGACATTGCTGTTATGAAAACCAGTACCAACAGCACTGGAATCACCAGAATTGATATTTTGTCCTTTGCTCAGCACCCAAAGAATGATTAATTGTGCTGTGATACTGTAAGTGAAAATATAAAGTAAAGCTTGAAGAATCAAAGTTTCAAACATATGCTGGCTTACAGATAGTTTAGGACATAACATTGCTTTTATTCTTCTATCTTCTTGTAATTCCAACTTGCACACTATGGTCTTATTAAGTTTAATAATGTAAAAAAGATTTCATGAAGATTCGATTGTTCCAAGTATTTATTAAAAACCATCATTAATAATTCCGTTTACGAATCTAAACTTGCAAACTCACTATCAGCAGGTTATCAAGAAAGCACCAAATAACGATGAGTTTGGTAGAACAAAATAAATAAAAAACAAGACAAGTAAAAAAAAATGCATTGATTAAAAGTATATTATTGGAAAGATGTGAAATGAGCCCAGAATGAATGGAACCAAAATCATTCGGTTCAATATAACACCTTGGTGACACCGTTCTAGTGATATTAGAATGGTCAAAACGACCCCAATGATATTTAAATGAATTAATGAAAGCTTATAAGGAGTACAGGTGGTCTTCATTGGACATGCTTAATGGAAATACAAGAAAAAGCGCTTACAGAAAATGAAGTCCGATTTTCATTAAGACCGTTTGCTTGTTTAGAACTGTGCAATAAAACTCCATTAAACTGAGTAGCACAACACTGTGTTAATCACAATGATGATTCATCATAAATTCTCATTCTATTATTAGTTTTACTGCCAACTGCAATAGTAGATGAATTTTTTTTTTTAGTAATAAGGAATTCTTTAAACTATATCAATTAATTTCATGGAATATGAGAAATTTAATGAGACCTATATCTATCTGTTTATCATCGTAAAATTGCGAATATGATTTTTTTTTAGACCGTAATCCTTATTAGATCTTGACTAGTCCAAATATTAGTAAATTCGATTCCAAAATCTCATTTGCGATTTACTGCAAAAATTAATTTGTTTTAAAAACTTGGTTAATGAGGCTGTTGACATTTATGTTTTTAACGTTTTGTGCAGTTGAAACGACACGAACTCCATTTTCAATTTAGTCAACAGAAAGCCTTTTAATTAACAGTTATATTAAGGACTGGATAAAATATCAAACAATGTCACAGAAATGTCGCAGATGTAGTTGACAAATTAAGATATGAACAAAACAGCAGCAGGAAAGGAAGGAACTGCATCGAAATGAACTTTGCTGTTAAATAAATGAAATGTTGGGTGAAATAAAAGGGAAACAGAAATATTGATTATCAATGTTTTATTTCATATCATCAGCTGAAATATTCGTTACTTTTTTTGAAAAAAAATCTCGCCGAAATTTAATCATGTGAAGTTATTAATGTGTTATTATAAAATCACATTTGAAGAATAAACTTCTATCGATTTCTACTGATCTGTTAATAAAATTCATTCCTCTCTCTACTTTTCCCCTTAAAATATGTTTCTTTTCTCGCTTAAGTATTTTTCATATATCTTTCTTTTTAAAAAAAATTGAGAAAAAGTCAGGTAAGAAAAAAAAATTTTTTTTTAAAAAAGTGAAGTTCACAACACATATTGAAACCTTTTCATCGTGTCAAGCTACTTTATTAACTACTAAAGTGCATTAAGTTGAAATGAAGAAAAAATGATTTCAGGGAAAATAACTAAAAAAAAAAAAAAAAAAAAAAAAACGCGTAAACAGACATCACCGATGTGTGGGAATGAATTGAGGCGTAGTGGAGCGTTGTTAAATGTAGTTTATAGGCTGTCTGAATTGTACGGCGGATTTTGGTTAATGTTTTAGCTTGACATGATGGAAGGGTGCTTTCGAATGGTGCTTTCTTTTCGGGGTCAGAGGGCAACGATGGGTATTCAGTAAACGTTAGTTAGAGAACAGGATCACATTTGAAATTTCTCTTTGCTTACCGCAATAAAATCAGAGTACCACATGTTCATCTACTTTTTTCTCTTACACAACTGGAAAATACAATGATATCCCAATGCCGTCATATTTTATTTCAGGCGTAATGGACATAACGAGAAATCTATATTTATGTAACTGCAAATAATTGAATTGAACTACTGTTTTGCAAATAATGATATCTAATGATTACCGAAGGTGTACTGAATCTGATGATTGCCAGGAAAGAGCTGGATCGATGGTTAATATATCAGGATATTTCAGCCACGTGGACGAGTGTTATGCTTTAACTGAGCAGGTGTTTTCGATAAACTATAACCCTAATTAATTCCGTTAAATATTCATGTCTCATTTTTGAACAATTTTCATTTGAGTTATTTGATGGAATTATGGATTGCTATAAAGTTATGTGCTACAGGTTTCGGCGACATCCTCATCTGACACGTCAAGAACAAAACTAACATGTTTCGATGTTGGCCGTAATTATATCGCATTTGGGAGTAACTGTGGTATTTTATTTCTTTTCAATCGTCGATTGAATCGCAGCGCTTCTCCGTAAAGTTTTGCATCCTGTTTGATATATTGCTAACATGATAAGATCTGTAGTGACTGAAGCTTTCAAAAACATTGTTGCTTCTCACTGCATGCTAGGGAGCTGTGAAATTTTTTGAAAATTTTGATTCTGAAATTTTTGATTACTTATAATGTCAAAACATACAGGAATTTTTGAACTCTTGACCATATGACTGGTACCCAGACATAGTCTCCGCTTTATTACCAAAGCGGTAAAAAAGTTGTTATGAAAAGGTTTTACAACAAAACATTCCTTTTCTAACAGTTTCGTGTACAAAGTGCTTGAACTTCTAAATTTCAGCTTACGAACAAATACCGATGATTTAATCACATGTGTAAAACTTTTCTCAGGGGAATATGACTTGCTGGCCGCAGGGTATAATTCTGGGGGCCTTATATTACTGAATTTCCCAACCGGGAAGCCCGGTTCGACCAGAAGAGTTTCTTTTTCTTTCATTAGAAGTGAAAATTCATTATTTATTTGTTAATAATAGTTTTCTTTTTGAAGGAGATTCATCTTTTTTGGATAATTTCAATTTATTATAATAAGCGCACTACTTTACATTTGTAACTTACCAGGAAATTTTGTATTGATTTCTGTCTCTTTTTGAAGACTCGTAGAAGTTTTTCATACTATAATTTGCAGCTGGGGCAAAATCTGTCATTCGATAGACACAGAGGGCATGCGATCAGTTGCATTGCTTGGACAGAGGATGGAAAAAAAGTATTTTCTGCTGATGACGCTGGTATTGTGGTCGTTACATCAGTAGATTTTGTTAGTGTCAGTAAAGCCGCAATTTTGTTGAATTGTTTGAACAGTTCGTTTATTACCTAGTGTCTCAGTCATTCTGGATAGTATTTTAAAATGTCAAAATGTCGAGATTTGTTTTATTTAAAAAATATTTGCAGAATATTTTTCAAACGACATTTGTTTGCTTCGAACACACCTGTATAATGCAGTTAACTCATGTTTGCAACCTTCTAGCTCTCTGCACTGTTAGAAGAGTCGCTGTTATTGATGAAAAATTTAATTTGATACTGGAAATCGACCAACATCAACAAAAGTATTCTTTTTTTTTTTGTTACTTTTTTTTGTTAAACAGAAAAAAATTTTTTTTTTATCAATTGAAAGAAATTTATGAATTACTTAAAAATTTGACAAAATAATTTTTCCAAGATTTTTAGAGCTATTTGTATACATATGATTGCTAAACCCTGTGGTACGGAATTATTCGTTCTTCAGTCAGATGGTTTCATAGTTGTTTACGATATTTCCTGTGGTGAGAAGAAAAAGAATTTCAGTATGTCGGAAGACGTAAGTATATATAGAATATTCACGTTTCAACTAGTGTTTGTTTCCATGATCTTGCTCATTATTTCGATTTTAAGGTTTCATAATGAACATATTCTAATATTTTGTACAAAAGTAACATAGTGGTGCTTAATTTTAGGTAAAACAGAAGTTGGACATAACAGATTTTTCAACTGAGTGCAGGTTGTCTTTTTATTTCTCGCTGTTTTAATTGGCACCAAGATGTTCTATATATTTCATTAACTCAGGAAAATAATAAAAGTTCAATTCAGATCTAATTCATTAAGAAATGCAGTAGTTTTTTATAATTCAATGAATTTTCAGGTTACAGCAATGGAGATCGTGCATGTTAGTGGTGCATTCTCAAATTTGTATAATTTATTTCTACAACCACATTGTTTTATTGAATTTAGTGGATCAAACTACAATTTTGTCATCATTTGATCTGAACACTCTTTTCTGTGATAGAGCGTTTGAAGTAAGCTGATCGGAATTTTGGGATCTTTTGCACTGAAAGAAATCCATTATTCATTGCTTGGATTTTTTCTTTCCAGACATCTATTTGCGTTGAGCCAGAATTTTCATTCTCAACTATTTTTGTCCTCGGTCCAGATAATCGTGTTTTTCGTCTCGCATCGAACGAAGTTCCTTCGTATCTTACAGAAGCTCACGGTGAATTCTTTTCTAAATTATGCTACATTTCTTCGAAATGGATTGAGATTTTCATTTGCAGCGCCTTTCTAGGTTCCCGTACTCTTCTTTAGGTTTAGAAAAAAGATTTAATATTTTGAAATAATTGTTTACTGTTTAGTATTACAGATAGTAAATTCACTGGTATAGCATCTGAAACCTGAAGAACATACTTTCTATATCTTTCCGATCTCTTTATAATAAAAGTCTTTCAGAAATACCGAAAGAATTCACATCAAAAACCTTCTTAAACTCTTTCCAAAAAACTACTAAATTACTGCCAAATGCTTCGAAGGATGTATTTTGGGATGGCTTAAAAGTAGCAAAGGAGATGAATATTTTTTCCACTTTACGTAATTTTCCTCTTCCAATTTTGAATGCTTTGCCTGATTCGGACTGCATTCTGCGTAATAGCAGGTAATGCTATTGAACTAAATCATGAATCTTTTATTCTATGGTTGTGAAAATTATTGCTGTAATCCACACGTCAAAAACTTCTTACCACTTTCTAAAAACTATTAAATCAAGTTTGATGGCGATTATTTCAGCCGTAATTCTCTTTGCGATCAATCATCGGATAGTGATTCAGAAGATGATAAGTCGGGTATTGCACGGCCTCGGAATAGGAGTAATATTTTAAAACATTTTGGTAAATTATTTTATTATAGATGTTTTTTATTTGCAGAACTATTAGGATTTTCCATAAATTTTTCAGTAGTCTTTGAGTTTATGTAGTCTTTATTGGATTATTGTTTATAAGATTACTACCAGTCAGATTTGTAGAGCAGATACAGATACAACCAACCAGTATTGTGGAAAACGTCAGTAAAGTGGCACGGACATTAGTTGATAGAGTGGGCGGTTTTGGTACACAGGTACATTGGTTATTTAAAAGATTTTCGTAAGCTTGTCATTTCTGAGATCTGAAAATTGAAATTTTCAAAACTTTTTCAAAATACCAGAATCTAGGTCGAGAACGGCTTTACGATGCAATCTATGTGTGATGCTGACACGGTAGATGTGGAAAAACCATTGTTCCCAGTTGAACAATCTGGTATTCTTCAAGAAATTATGGTTCGTAGGACGAAGACAGTTCTTACGTGTAAGAGAAAGAAAACAGGAAAAGTGGATGATTTCGACAAATCCAGCTTAATGGATTCATCCAAGGAGGATCTGAATCCTGTTGATGAGCATACGCTGAAAAATATCAAAGGAGGTATGCATTCAAGACTAAGATACTCTGTCGTTTTTCCTTTTAACAACGGTTAAGTTAGTAGGAGAAAAGATTGCTGAAACATTCTTGAAATTAAGTATTTATAGCACTTACAATTCCGTTACAAATTGGCGGAGTGAACTGTCAGTCTCAGGATTTACATGGTGGCAATATCAAACAGAGAGCTGATTGCAGCAAAGAGTGTCAAGAAGTGAATACGAAATTATTATCCTTATTTTTCATTTTTTAGAATTATTTATTAAAACAATCTTCCCTTCATTTTTTTTTTTTTTTTTTTTTTAACTACAAATTGCAGATGATTTGGATTGCTGAACTGAATGATGGTATTGATATGAAAAATAAAGAGCTTGACTCAGCAACAGGTAAGTCGTCGATATTGTTTTGTTTTCTTTTTTTTTTTTTTATTCTGGAAATTTCGAAATTGCACAAATTGGAGATGGAAAGGAGTAAAAAGAAATCCTTTTACTGCCATCATAATTTTCGGATTAAGAATTTCAAAATTTTCTGTGAGAATTTTTAAAGCATAATTCTTCCAATTAAATCCTATGTTCAATATTCAAATATTGATATTTGTACACTTTGACACAATTATTTCAGAAGAATCCACTGAACAAAATCTAGCGAATTCGATGCCGGAATTATTGATGGAAGGAAATGCTTATGACTTTTTAATGAAGGATGCACTGGAAAGGAAACCTTCTGTTTTTGAGGTAATTTTATAAATACAATTAGAATATCTATTTTTTTGTAATGATAATGTGACACCTATAATTTTAAAATGTTTTGTAGCAAGCAACAAGTAGTGCTATATGTCTACCGGATGATGAACAACTGATCAAAAACATTATTGTGATGAATAACTTCAGTGATATTTGGAGAGAGGTTTGGAGGTTTTAATACATTTTAACTTTTAGTTGTTGAATATGCTTTTCAGTCAGAATGATTTTATTTTGGAGTATGTATTTGTGTCTTCAGTAATAGCTAGGCAATTGAGCAGTAACTAAATTTTTGAAGGAATCATGGAATTATAGCGCCTAATAAGTCTTGGCAACTTCTAATCATTTGCCAAATCATTTATTTTTGTTAATGCGTTCCGTATATATATATCAACTGCAGCTTAATTTCGGTTGTACTATGAATATTGGGGTCCTTCACACCTCCAAATCCGAATAACCATTCATGGTTCTTGTGTGGTTTCTGGAACATTATTTTGATCTCTTCACTTATGTTACAAATAATTTTAACAAAGCAGTAATTAAGTTTGGACTTATAGGACTATCTACTGGAAATCAAGAAGTAGGGACTATCGAAATTTAATTGAAAAGAAGGAAAGGCCTTAAAAATTATACATAGATAGGATTCAAAAATTTAATGCAACTAAAGAAGGAGTGATTTCTCAGCATAAAAGTGTTCAGTAATAATATATCATCTTAAAATATTTTCCACTAGAGGATATGAAGTTCACCAAATTACTGTTAATCTTGTCTTTTTCTTAGTGTTAATTTCAGATAAAACTGCCATATTCCTGTTCATCTTTTTCTGTTTCATCCAAATATTTTATTATTTGTCATTCCAAAAAAAAGAGAAGGCCTTGTTATTTGTTTATTCCTTACTGTGGCACTCCGCAGTGGATAAAATTAAAGCAGAAAGCAGATCATTTTGTTGTTAATGGTTTGTTTTGTGGAATTTATCTGACCTAGTAGCTGTTCTCATATTTTCAAAATTATTTTCAATTTATTATTATTTTCTTAATGAAAAGCTTTTTCCTGCAAAGTTTGATTCAGCGTAGAACAAAAATAACAACGAAGAATTTTATTATTTTCTTTATATCGAATAGTTTATTTTTTGAAATTTTTTTCATTTTACTTGTTTTATTTAAATTTAATTTTAATAACATTCATTGCCTTCATTCTTAATATGTAATTATTCTAATACGGGAATCAAGTATGTGTTAACTCCGGAGTCATCCCAAGTTCCTTGATCAACTATTTAATATTGTTAAAATAATTGAATTTTAAAAATTTTCAAGATGATGGTACCTTAGTTTGGAAAATCCTTAAAAATGTCGCATTTGCTCCCATGAAAAGTAACATTGGATCTGATTCATTTTTAACATCTCTTCATTGGACTGTTGTTGCTGACGAGGGTGGTGGTGTAATTGAAGCTGCGCTAACCAGTCGTTCGGCTTGGTATATAACAAAATCAGGAGAGGTATGGTTTCTTTTTTTTTTCACTCTGTATTTGCAAACAATCTAGTGGAGAGGCTAAAACTGATGTAGGTTGCTTAAATGACAGTGCAAATAGTCTTTGAAAATATATTGTGAATATAGTTTTTTTTTTTCATAAGTTTTTTGAGATTTTTAAGCAGTTTTGAAATATTTATTAATTAAATTAAAGGTTTTTGTACAACTATGTTTACCGGAAATGGGAATTCTCAGTAGATGCGAAACGTCGTGGCTGTTGCATTCCATCACTGCAAGTGAGTTGGCGGTTTGGGCGCTACAAGTTGAATCAGGTCGCCTTGTAGTACGCACTGGACTAAAGCATAGTCCAGTTGGATTGGATTGGGTTGAAATTGTGTACGTTTTTTGCTTAATTTTTCATCATCACTTGCTGAAGAGAAAACTAATATATTTAAAAATGGCTTTCCCTTTTCAAATTAAAATTTTTTGATTCTATATTTAAAAAGTTTTACAGGCCTCATGGCCCTACGCGTTTAATTAGCATTTGTTTATATGGCCAGAGTGGTTGGGCAATTGATGAAAAACATTCATTATGGTTCACAAATGGTGTGGGATATCAAAGTCCATTTGGCTGGACAGGGAGTTGGATGAAAGTACTTCTTTTCTTTATCGTTCTATTTATTTAAAAAGTGAAGGAAAATAAGAACTTGACTATTTCTATTTGCTATAAATTTTCTGCAGTTTATCAAGAATCGTACAAACTTCATGTTCCGTATTTTTTTACATTATTTTTCCCTAGCAGTTTGATTTGCTGTTGCTTAAAAAATAAAATTTTAAGTTTTTTCTCAGGTTTTTTCGAATTTTTTCTTTCAGGTTTATAATCCATGGGATGTTTCACCGGATTTTAATCGGTTGTTGACTTTACCATGGATCATTCGCGTCTCTTCGGCAGGAGTTTTCGTATGTGTCGACAATAAGTGTTATTGGTCATCTGGCGCCAGCTTTCTTTCTGGACATCGCCTAGAACACATTGTGAGGGATAGCTTCTCAGTCGACAACAATTTTGAATTAATAGCAGGCGGAGGTTTAAAAGAAGATTTTGGTGAGTATTTTGGGTTGTTGCAGAAGCTTGTTTATTCATATATTAAAATCGGCAAATCTACTTTTGTGATCTGTTATTGTGTTAGTTTTCGAAGGAGATCGAGCTTGGCAAACTTAATACACTTCCTATTTTGGTACTATGTGGATTTAGTATTGGTGGGTTTTGTTTAATGCTTGTAAAGAGCGTTGAAATATTGACTGGATCTTCCTAAGAAAGCCCACTATAAATCAAAAAGGTCAATGTATGGTAACATTTTTGTTGCAGATTGTTTAACGTTATGTCGAATTAATGAAATATTCCTTTATCGATTGAAAAATAGTTATTTCTATTCTCTACCAGCCTTTCCAGCATCATTCAATTCAAATGTAATATATTTCATACGTAGAGCTTTTTATTAATAATTGAAGTGCTTTGATGCAAGCTGCATATGTTTTTTTGAAAAAATTGTTTATCTTTGAACTGTTTCTTTATTTCATCCGTTAATATGTTTCAATTTAAAACCTTTCAGATAATTGAAGTGTCGTCTTTTGACGAGAGTGTGTATGTATTGGATAGTTCTGGTTGTATATACGTGAAGGAAAATATAAGTACTGTTTCCCCATTTGGTGTTGATTGGAAAATCTTAGACACAGGGCCTTGCGGTTAGCTTTTTTTATTTTTATTTTTTTATTATTTTTTATTTTTGATTTCGATTTTTTTATTTTTGGAGCTCTATCTACTCAGTTTATCTTACTTTTACTTTTTTGAAGATTTGGATTAAATATTTACATAATTGCTGCATATTCAGGTTCACCAATAATATCATTTACCGTCACATCGGTTTCATTATGGGTACTTACGGCAGCTAATGAAACTTGTTTGTATGTAAAGAATGAGAAGAAAGAACCGCTAGTTGGTACAAATCCTAAATGGATTCATCTAAAAGCTTTGGATGGTTGTATATTCGATAAAGTTAGGAATTTATATATGAGACATTTCATTGAAGAGCTCTTTGCTTATTTCGGCTGTAATTATGCTTCTTTTGCTTGTGACTTTCAAATTTGTTATTTAATAAAGTAGTTGTTTTTTTAGATTCGTGCATCCTCTAATGGAATGTATGTATGGGTATTTTCGAGGAACAGTGGGCGTGCATGGGCTCGCAATTCTATTACGGACGTACTTCCTTCTGGAAAGTCATGGATAGAGGTTAATTGTTGTCTGAAGTTTTGAATGGATTTAAAATAAACGCTTATTGAAATTCAAAGATGGCGGTTTCAGGCGAGTAATGAGCCTGGTGTTTACGATTTGGCTGTAGGGTGTAAAATAATCTGGTCGCTTTCCGCTTCTGGACAGCTTCACAGACTACAAGGTCTTGCGATCAGCAATCGAGCTGGAAATTATTGGAAGCCTATCCCACTTTATTTAAAAGCAATGACTATTGATAGAAAAGAACGGTTATGGGGAATCGACTTGAACAAGCGATTAGTTTCTCACAAGTTAAGTTTTCATTTTATACTCTTGCTAGTTTATCATATTCAAATTTTATTAATTTTCATAACATTTTCTTGTTATTTTTTGATTTCCAAAAAAGTCGTATGCCATGAATTTAATTTTCTGATGTTGAAGAATTTTAGACCGAACTGTATCCTCCCTTCAATCGGCATCAGTTGAATGCGATGAAGATTAATTAATGGTAATCACTTGTTGTATATTTCTGGTATTGCTAACCATTTCGAATATTTTTTCATAATTTATTGCTTTCTCACTCAGAAATTCAAAAATCTCATAAAATATAAATTTGTTTTAAGTAATCTCCGGTATATTTCTCATCTTTTTTATGTTTGGTTGTAATTATCTTCGTGGTAAATTTTCTTTGCTTTGGGGTAACTATTGCTGTAGTTGCATCTAGTAATCAGCATACTCAGTATTGTGAATCTAGTCCCAAAATTTCTTTTTCTTTTTAACTTTGCCAGTTTTCAGTTATTAAAAAATAACTCTCTTTATTAAAATTATTTTCATTTTTGTTAGTTCTTCAGTTTGCTATTTATAACGCTGGTTGATATGAATATGACGTATCTCTTTGTGTTGCTGAATTACACAGCTATGCAAAACAGTAATCATCTGATATGTAAAAAAAAAATGGAAAAGTTGTTTGCACGAATTTTTTTTTGATTAAAAGAAGATGTAATTAACACGTTTTTGTTGAAGGAAGAGGTTTGTAGCGTGATATTAGGACTTATGACTTCGTTAACACTTAATTACTTTATCTGTTTCAATAAGAGTTAGAAATTCTAAACACAGTGCATCGACAGACTTCCTGCTCATTAATCTTTAAATTTCAACTTGTTCTCTGGAAGACAACAATTACTTAAGGAAGTGAGTGAGGGGTGGAGAAGTGTTTTGTCTTGAGTTTTCTGTTTTGTAAGGGAGAATGTAAAGATTTGCTCGTTTTAAGTTGTATTTTACTGTTTATGAGGATGAAGGACTGTATCACGATTTCGGGATTGTAGCGTTAATTCATGAATAAACAACCATACCTTACCTCTACTATGATCACGTTGTATTGGGTTAATATTCGACTGATTTGCATTGTTACTTCCTTAAAGAGTTTGAATGAATTTTAATCTCCCCTACTTCCTTTTATTTCGCCTACATACTTATTTTTTCTCATATAAAGTTTTGCTAAGAATTTTCAAACTCTGATCACACGCGATACTTATGTGAGCTATGAAATCTAACAACGGTAATTTACTTTGGTTATAGGTAATCTTGAGTTAAATTGAAGAATTGCGATAAGCAATATCTCTTGTTTGGGCTGTTTTAATGGATGTCCTATTGTCCATGTATTCCTTAAAATTTCTTCCTTTCTTTCCGCATAGATTTTCATAGTCTTACTAGATTAGTCGATAAGAAAGTGAACTGAAAGTTGTAAACAGTTGATTATATTGCATCATTTTTCGATCTGCTGGCTAATTAAAGTATAGGAAAACACAAATAAGAACTGGGCTGTGTTAAATGGAAAATTGTAACTGCTAATGATAAAAATTAGGTGTAATTTACTATATTCTAATGAAGCATAATTGTAGTTCTTTTGACTTCTGATGCTTCTATGTCCTAAGACATAATGTCGTACTGTACGATACAGTTTGATTTCTTCTTTACAGTTATCAGCTATTCAGAAATAACACAAAAAATAACTCAAATGAAACAGGAACTACAAGACTTAGTCAAAATCAAAACTTGGTTGAATCATCACTTTTCATTTCAATTTATTTTTTCAGGTTTCAAAAATTTCTAAGGCCATCCAAAAGTATGATGAATTTGCACAAGTGAACAAAATAAAAATACTATCAACTTTATATTAGTAATTTCAATATCATTGACGATCAATAACTTTCAGAGTTAACTCAGACAGACGAAATATCCAACTTTGATGCTGAATCAACCAAAACTAAAGCCTGCATAATAACCAAAAATTGATACTGAGGAGCTCTAAATGCTTGTACTACGTGTGATTACTACTAAATGTATGAATAATTTGTCGACCGTTTCATTTTCATTGATACACCATTTTTATGTTGCTGTGGAGATAGCTGGAAAACCTATAAGACTCCCTTCCAAAAATCATTGAAATATTTCATAAATATTACCTTCCCATTGCTTGCCGATAGTCAATATAATATGTTTACACAAATATTTTATTTGATTTATCCATCGATGATGCATCACTTTAGCAGCAAACTACTCTATCAGCAATTCACTCAGAGTGACAGATGTTGACAAGTTGACTCAGTGCTTTATTTCTTTTTTAGTTGTGTCTTAAAGTTTGATTTACAGCAAGATGGAATAATAGTAAGATGGAATAATTCAAAAATTTAATAAGATGACCCGTGAATTAAAAAATTTTAATTTCGAAAAAGATTTGTATTTCAGGAATAGTTAAGTGAAAAGTTTAATCGGAAAGATCATGTTCTTATTTTAAAAAGCTTAGATCATGTTCTTATTATTTCGATTGTTATTAAATTAAGTTCAATCAAAGTAAGCTGAAAATCAGCTTTTTGAAGTAGATAATGGTAGATGACATAAGATAATTTGTTAAGTACTAGTAGTAGCTTACTTTAATCTCTTCACTTGAATAGTAATTGTACTTGGAAGTTCTCTCTTCAAAATATTTCTCTTTCTAATATATTCGAGAGACGAATAATTACAGCTGGAAAAGCAAGCATTTTTTCAATTAAATAAAGGTAAATTAAAAAAGTCAATTGACACATGTGATTTTCTCATTGTATTGAAACAACTTGTCAAAGTTTTGACATGAATTTGGTAAAGTTTTATACTGCTAATAATTCCGCTAATAAATAAGTTTAACTAGTATTCCAGATTGAGCCTAATGGAACAATTAAGTTATTCTGCGTTATAATTGAGTCTTACAGCATATTTCAAGAAAATTATTCATGTGAAAATGAAACAGTTTAGTAAACTTCCTTCTTCCACCTCCTTTCCACTTCTTTTCTTTATCTCCGAGAGTAATGTACATTGGTGCTGTCAATTCAAGAATTGCTCTGATACTGAGTAAGGTGGAGGAAAAAAGTTAGAAGAGTCCTATGATGAATTTGTTTGTCAAGTCCTTAATTCTTTTATAGATATTTATCTGTCCTTGTCCTTTAAGTTCTGTCTTCATTCTTTCTTTCGAATAATATTTCTGAATTATATTTATTTGTAATTAACAAGTTGCAAGTCCCAAATATTGGAGAAAGCACTTCCAATAAAATCATTCTAAATCTAAATGAATCGATGGGAAGCATATCAGTACAGTCCCACTGCTGTCGTGTAAGTCTCATAAAATTTCGTTAATTAAATTTTTCTTTAATGAATCTGCGCAATTTCTTCTTAACTGCACATGCTAGTTGTTAATGTCCTCAACACGTCAGAATCGAATATTTAATGGTAATTTGTCGTTGGTTTTGCGTGAGCTTAGTTCTTGATTTACTTAACAATTTGAGCTAAGAAAGTCTATTGATTCACTAAGTTGTTTTTCATCCTTATGTAACTAATTACTTTGAAGTTGTAGGCAAAATCAAGTGACAATGCAGGATAGTAGGGCACTTGTTGAACGTGAAGTCTTCCAGCACGCTACTGTTGGCAACTTCTTGGGATCCAGTATTGAAGGTCTCTCCTTTTAAACTTCGTGTTCTACTACTTGAATTTAAAGTTTTACATTAATATTTCCATGATTTCAGGGTCAGGTTCCAGTTTTATACGCTGTGTATATACAGCAAAGAATACAATAAATGCAACCGTCACATTGTTGTGAGATTTTCGAACTCTACAACCACTAACATTAAAATCAAACACAATATGCTGTCATTTGTACCGCGTCTCTCTGAAACGGAATTAATTTTCAATCAGAAAGCATAAGTTTTGGAAGTAATTAAAACTGAAGTATTACAACAAAAATCCCGCAACAATAAGTTATTCAGAAATGTTGCAGATGTGATGTCAATGCTGGTTGCTGTGAGAGAGGTTGCTGTCCTCAAGATCTTTTCTGGTATTTTTTCCATAATTATTTGGTCGAATTCTAGAAGACTTGATAGATTTCCAGTGCAATAATGAAATTTTTCTCAGAATATCTGTACAATAATATATCATCGACATTTAATTTCATCGTTTCAGATAATAAATTTATTTCAGGATGGCTGGAGTATTTATTCTCTTAGTTTTCGTGCTTTTGGTGTTTTTCATTGGCGCATGCATCGTAATTTGTTGTTATTGGCGATCGAAAAAGGAGCAACGTAGGGAAGCTTATGAATATAGCATATATGGCTCTCAGGTATGCCAGTTTTTATGATTTATTCTATTAAAGTTGATTGAATTTTAAACTCAGAAAGCCTTTTTTTCCCATTCCAAAGCTTTTTGACATACTGAATGAGTGAATAGACTCAATATGCAAATATGATAGTATTGAAGGGAGAGCATGCATCGATCCATGTTTTATTTGCAACTGAAAGCGAGTATACTTGATTAGCTAAGCAAATGTTTTCCATTGACTGAGATAGTTTTCATGAACGACTTCAAAGAAGTAAAATATATTATGACCACTTTATCCAGCCAAGCAAATTTAAATAAATCTTTGAAATGATTTGAATTTTTGTAAGAATTTAATTCTTTATCTTTAAATATATCGTATTTCAGGTCGGCATGTATCCAGATGGATGCAATTCTTATACAAGCCGATCTGTCTATCAAAGGTATTAACTGTATTTGTCTGCTCATATAGATGTTTTATAAAGGAAAAGGGAGTGATAAAAATCATTGTTACTGAATCACAATCACATTCGCATCATAATGTCGCCTTCTGGTCGAGTTACTTTCTGATCAAGCTACTTGTTGGATTCAAATAAATCATTCTCGTGGTGTTCAATTTGATTAACATTTCTAATTTTCCTAATCATCAATATTTAACTAAGTTTACACATTTTATAATAAGGCGAAAATGCTGATTTTCTTGCCCCACTTCACAACCATCCTTACAACTTCCATCAATAGTAAACCCCAACTCAAGCAGTTCTTCATTTGAAAAAGATATTCACATAATAGCTTGAAATTTTACTTCACAATAAGAGCATATAATTTGAACCTAAGCAGAAAATTTATTCATTATTCGTAAAAAT